ATTATTTTTTTTATATTTCAGTTCTTTACATTATTTAGCATATAAAAATATTTTTTTATAGTGGAACTAAAGATATCCAGATATCTTCAGGATATCTCTACGATATATTTAGGACATTTCTGCTATGTAGGATGTTTGTGTGTGTGTGTGTGTGTGTGTTTGTGTGGTATAAAATAATTTCTAAATATTGTTTCACATTGTTTTCTCATATCTTGAACATTATTTTTTTTTATTAATACTTTAATGCATAATAGTTAACAAAATTTATCATTTTTTATCATCATAACATTTTATATCTTCTAAATATTGCTTTAAACTTGTTCTCAATGTCATGTATTCTGTATTTTCATCGCATCCACACATTCTATTAATCTAAAAATTTATGTTATAAAAATTTACTTTATTAAAACATTAAAAAATCTTGAAAAAAGGAACAAAAAATTCAGAGTGCAGTTTACAGTTTATAGATTTTTGTTGTGTTATTATTAACATTTTAAAAGATAAGTATGAATGTCTCATATAAAATAATTCTAGAAACAATATAAATATAATAATAATAATAATAATAATAATAATAATAACAATATTATTAATGTAAACTTATTAAAATTTTTAAAGCTTCTTTTAGTTTTGGTACATGTGTAATGCGAGTACACATTTCTGTAATCTTCGTTTAGGCAAAACTTGCACTCTACGTCCATCATGCCTAAAGAAGTTAAGTATTTATCAAAGAGACGAAAGAATCAGATCATTAATCGAGATGTATATAATAGTGAAAATAATGGTTTATTAGAAACAGCTTTACCCAATGCAGCATCTGATATCGTAGTACAAGCGGCAACTATTACTGTAAATTCTGATAACATATCTTGTACTAATAATGAATCATTTGAAAACATAAAGTGTTCCGTACGAGAGCTGTCGTCCGCACGGATAGCGGGCGGCGGGCGGCCGTACGCCAGGCACGTTCCGCGCGCGGGCGACTACCGCTCGCCGCGGCTTCACGCCGCCGCCGCTACGCGGCAGCGCGCCGAGCCGGCGCCGTCGCTCGCAGTTAAATTTCGGTGCGGCGCCTATATAAGACGCCGCGGGCGCCGACTCTAGGAGTTCGGACTGCGTTAGTGCATCTGTTCACTGCCTCGCTGAGGTATTCTTTTGTGTTCTAGTTAACTTCATATCGTCTTCTTGAGTGCGTAAGCACGTTGGGCTCTTGCCTCGCACGAGGTATACGTGTGCATATCTGCACTGAATATCGCTGCCTTCAGAGTGTCACAGACACGCTGGCGTTCGGGTTTAGATTTCGCAGCCCTTTAGAGTGCCCCGCACGTTGGGCTATCGCCTCTAGAGTGACCGAGGACACGTTGGCGTTTGGGTTACGAAGTGTATGGTAATTCCACGGATCTCCACCTTCTCAATACGATCGAGGATTGAGAGAAGGCTTCGCGCGATCACTTCGGATTGCCTTGACGCTTCCACCGCGGTGGACGTCTCTCTTCGCGACTTCTCCCGTATAGCATATACCGGGTATTAACGCCACCAGAGCTTATTGTGGTCGAGCTCCCGACTCCGCGCGAGTCGTCGTTGTACTCCGGACTCTGCTGCCAGGGACGCAGCATATATACGCGAGCAACGCTTGCCTTTACGTCCGCTTAGGACTTAGTCGCTGCCAGGGACGCAGCATATACACGCGAGCAACGCTCGCCTTTACGTCCGCTTAGGACTTAGCCGCTGCCAGGGACGCAGCATATACACGCACACCTTTACGTCTACTTCGGACTTAGCCGCTGCCAGAGACGCAGAATATACAAGCGAACCCCGTTCGCTTCTTCACCGCTACTGAAGCCATACTCGCCGCATACGCGACTACACGCGCGAGTTACCCTCGCGCCTGAGTCTACGTCGCCCACGCAACGTTACGATTCTCGTTATTCCTCCGACAAAGGGAATTTTTCCTAACGCGGAGGCGCTGGGAAGCGGTGCATCACCGCAGGGCCGCCGCTTCGATTGACCTGTCTCACTTTAGTCGAGTCGACGACCCACCAAACCACGGAGCCGAAGCCTCCCGTCTCCGAAGAACTTCGCGAATCACTTGCACCCCACGTCATCTTACGGGGCCGCTGGATAGCGGACTGCTAGCGACGAAGCCCGCGGTCTCCACGCGGCGAGCGGACACCTATCCGCATCTCGCATAACGTACCGGCCGCTCTCCACCCTCGGGCCATTCGAAACATAAAGCAATCGGAGAAATTATCAGTAGGGTTGCAAGATGAAAGCAATGAAGAATATACTCCTGATTTACAAGAGAATATATCTATATCTATAAATATGAGGGGCGCCGGCGGTTTCCCGCCAACCCCACTGTGTGAAAGCCACACACACACCTCATAAAAAGAAATAAGAAATAAGCTCAATATTGACGCACTGCATCTCTGTCTCGATAGAGAATAATCTTTATTTAGCTGCACAATAATTACGGAATAACTAACTTAACAGCAACACTTATATAAGAAAAAGAGAAAGCCGTGATAGCATGACGTAGCTATCGACGCGGACAAAGAAAATTCAGGCTGAAGGAAAAACAGCTCGCGCGATCCGATCCGATAACAACACTCTCGCGAACAAAGCCTGCGACTGACTTGAGTGTACGTATAATGACCTTGCAGGTCGATACGTGGCACGACGTTGTTCACGTGTACGAACACGTGAGCACTATGAGCGCGGAATGTCGAACGCGGCGAACAAAGATAGGACAGCCCTTGGGGCTTCGCACGTCCTTTCGCTGGCTTAACGATGCCAGGATACGCCCGCAACAGTGTCCAGCTGACCTCAGCGAGAGGACGCCCAGCTGAGCGCAATGATGAACCGCACGTGGCAATGCGTGACGTCACGGCCGCACGAACACTGCCGGCCGGCTCGCTTGCCAAACACGTGATACGCACGTGGAAGCCGAGCTCGCTCTACACTACCGCACTAACGATTATCGCCCGGTGGCGAACTCGCCGGCACCAGAGAGTGCACGGGAGCGAATACACCGGTGACGAGTGCACGCAGGATCCACGCAAGAGCGAGATCATTTCACAGCGGGCGCACGTGAGACTCGATGCGCGACGCGCGTGTGTCCCTGTGACTACACGCTAAAAGAAAGAGACGGAATTCGCGTGATTAATACGCTTACCGCACATTAGGCGAGCACCGAGTACAGGTTACGAAAAGAACGAGCACGAGCAGAACACAATGCACCGAATGCGGCGAAAGCACGGTCGCACACGAAGCTGAGAGAAAACGTGGCCGGACAGACTGAGAAGCGTGCCGAAAGGCTAGGCGGCTCGGAATCGAATCGTTACCGACTGGCTCAGCGAGCACTTATGGTGCGATCGCGAACAATTGGCGCGGCTGTAGCTGCTGCTTGCATCTGCTGACGCTTGGCGGCGGTTGCACATGCGTGCGCCCGTGCATGTGTGTGTGTCGCGAAAGTTGGGGCGCCACAAATATTTATGAGAGCTGTAATGAACAAAGCTTACGGAAAGACATACAAAGATTAATTATACAACGTAACATCCCTCACAATATTGCTAATGAGTTACTTGCAATATTAAGAAAACATGGTCATATAGAATTGCCTAGTGATGTTAGGGTTTTACTTCATACGCCACGCAATGCATCTAAAAGTATAAAATTGCATGGGTAATGGCCATTATGTACATTTTGGTCTTGCTTGTGCTTTGGCTCGGTCCATAAAAATATATTCCAAATTTATCGAGACAAATGAAATTAAAATAAACGTGTATATATGGACGTGTAAATATGGATGGCTTGCCAATATTGAAAAGTTCTACTAGTCAATTCTGGCCCATAATGGCATCGATTGAAAATATTGGTATTTATACATTTGCCATTTGTAATTGGTATTTATCACGGCATGTGTAAACCAAGTAATGTAAATGATTTCCTCACCAGTTTTGTTGACGAATATCTATTCTTATCTGAAAATGGTATAATTGTTCACAATAATAAATATAAAGTGAGTATTAATGCAATACTGTGTGATACTCCAGCCAAATCATTTATAACGTGCACGAAGGGTCACACTGGATATTTCTCGTGTTCCAAATGTATACAAGAAGGTGACTTCGTACACAATAGAGTAATTTTCCCCGAAACAAATAATATATTACGTACAGATGACTCGTTTAAAAGTCGAAGTCAAATAGAACATCACACAGGCGATTCTGTATTAGAAAACCTTCCCATCGGGATGGTTACACAAATTCCACTTGATTATATGCATCTTGTTTGCTTAGGTGTTACGAAACGGTTGTTGCAATTGTGGATCAGGGGAAATAAAAGTAACAGGTTAAATGCAGAAGATATTACTTCAATTTCGCAACATTTAATAGATGTTAAGCATTGCATTCCATCTGAATTTGCAAGGAAGCCTAGAACTTTAATTGATATTGATAAATGGAAAGCTACGGAATTGCGTCAATTTTTGTTATATACTGGAATAGTAAGTTTGAAGTCAATCTTACCTCCGATTAGGTATAATCACTTTCTTTCCCTCAGTATTGCGATAAGAATAATGGCTGATCCGCAAATATGCACGAAATATCTTGCTTATGCACATTCATTATTATTATGGTTTGTATCCAATTACGTTGTTATTTACGGAGAAGAACATATATCACATAATGTTCATAATCTTATTCATATTGCTAATGATGTAAAAACTTTTGGGTGTCTTGACAATTTCAGTTGCTTTAAGTTCGAAAATCATATGCAAAAAATAAAAAAAAATTGCATCAATGTGGAAAGCCTTTAGAAGAATTATCAAATCGCATATTTGAGGAATTACAAGAAGAAATTATATAGCACTCTATCGTACATTATCCGATTGTCGTTTACACAAGTAGTAAAAAAATTTCTTATGTTCAATATGAAAACTTTAAAATTGCACTAACTGAAATTGACAAGTGTGCTTTGCTTAATGATAATTCTTTAGTTTTTATTTTAGGTGTAATTAATGAGGACAGCACATTATTTTTCCGTGCCAAACGTTTTTTTAAATCCAAAATCCTTTTTCTCGGTTCCATGTGCTTCGGAAATGTTGGGTATATTTGTAATTTTAAGTACAACTAAATCAGAAACTATGCTAGTTCCAATAACTGAAATTACAAAAAAATGTTTAATACTGAAAAATACGGACCAAATTGATTCTTTTATTACAATACCGCTTCTTCATACGAACAATTAAATGCTGTACATTGTTGTTAATTTGAATGTACTTAAACAATTCAAGAAACATATTATGTGCAGTGAATATAAGTTATTGCAACGTATTTGTTCGTCTCGAGTAAATAAATACTTGCACACTTGCAAATGTGAAAATGTTATCCGTATGAAATGAAACAAATATTTGTAAGGTGAGTTAAGTATTTACAATTGTGACATGTTAATGTATAATTTTGTAATTTAACAATTAGTTTTATGTGATTGCAAATATAAAGAAAATGGTAAAAATCTAATTTTGATTGAACAGATAGAAGTATTAACATAAAATTATTATCTTTTAACAAAAATTCCTTTCCATTTCTTTTTTATTAATGCAAGAAGAAAACTTTATTATTATATTCATTATTCAAATTTTAACATTAAAGCAAGATCATTTTCTTGTCCAATGAGAGAACTCATTTTGTAATGGAATAATGATTCTATTGGATACAACTGCTGAGTTCACAAACTCGACCCGAAAAATAACAAACAACTTTCCTGCCCAAAACGTGTTGCGTTCCAAAACGTTCTTTTTGAGGAAAATTTTATTCGATACTTTATAGCATATGTAACGTGAACTATAGGTATTGAGTAAAATTTTTATCAAAAAGACCGTTTTGAAATGCAACCTAAGAGTGCAAATATTTGAATTTGAAGTTAAGTATTTAAACACTAACGTACTACTTTCTTTTATAGATTAAATAGAAAGATAATGGATCGTCGCGAAACTGTTATAAATAAGAAATATTCCGTTGTGAAATTTCTTATAGATAATTTATATTCCGAAATACCTACATCATGGCTTATGCACGATGGTAGTAAGCAGCTATGCTTGTGGCCGCCACGGACAGCAAATGTCGCATCCTTAATAGGGAATTGCATAAGTTCAAATTTAGAAACTTGGGATCCATATGAAGTTGACGTTATAAAATCCTGTAGTAAGTATACGCATTCATATCTTCTTTTGTTATGATGTTACTATACAGCTTTTATACATTAACTTTTATACATTAACATTGAATATATATTTGTTATAATTATTATGTTTCACATGTACGTGCACACACAAGGAATGATAGATATCAATTATTTTCGTCATTGTAGCATCTCTAGAATCTGCAAGAAGAAGTGCAGCTAACTCTAATTATGAAACTACCGATGAAGACAGCTTGGGACGTGGCAAAAGGCAACATATATCCAATCGATACAGCAGCGAAAAAGAGGAAAAAGAACACAATATATGTCGACTATATAAGAGTATGTATGTTACAAGAACATGCTTTATTATGCTTAATATATAGTGTCTAAATTTTTCCGCAAGTCCATTCATGTACTCATATATGAAGTAAAACTAAACATAAAAGTCCTCTACCATTTTGCTAATAACGTACAATAATATAAAACGTAATTATACAATTTTTAGATATTAAATAAAAAAACTGTGAATTTCATCATGCATGAAACTACATGTAGTTATAATATCGACGTTTGATATTGCATACTTATACATTACATTAAGAACGAGAAAATCTTTCAGTATTAAAAAAAAATACATAACATTTGGTTATTTATTACAAAAGATTGCTAAGTAATCGTATGCGATCAATCACTAATTTTATTTCATTAATAACTTGAAATTTTATGTGGCAAAATGGTAGAGAACTTTTTGCTCAGTTTGACCCAATCTACAATTATGCAATATCACACGTTGCCATTACAACTATGTACTATATTGCACATGATTGTACGCATATATACCATTTTTTTAAATAACTAAAAGTCGTATGTTACCTGCAAAATGGTTGAGAACTTTTGTTTGTAGTTAGACTTTATGTACCTGCACACCAGTGGAGTGCGGACCGTATAACTCCGACACCTTATATTTTAATTATGTATTATTCTTTTAATTTTATTTTGCTTTAAACTGAATTTAATTTATGTATGTATCTTTCATTATACTGAAACTGCACTCAGATAGCACACAATATTTTTAATATATTTTATAAAAATAGATATGAAATATTTCTTTAATTTTCAAATGTTTTGAAATTTTAGATATTAAAAAAATTATGATAAATATTCAACAGATATTTCTGAAGAATATTTTTCATAAATAAATTAAAATTAAATTAAAACACGATTTCGCTATAGCAAATTTTGTTTAAGTAAAACCATGTTTAATTGTTTATGAAAAATATTCTTTATAAATATTTGTTGAATATTTATTATAATCTTTTTCATATCTATATTTTTCTCGAACATTTAATTTACAAAATATGTAATACCTATATTTATAAAATATTTTATA